TAAAAAAAAAATTTTTTCAGCTTTTTTTTTTTTGTATAAAAAAAAAAAAAAAAAAAAAAAGCTAGCTAGAAGAATTCTAAACTATTAATATGATCAATAAGTAGAAAATAACAGGAATTTGGAAAAGGTAATACAGATAACAATAAAGCTCACCAACTAAGAAGTAACTGGGGAAAAAGGTAATGCTGTATAACAATATTTAGATTTTATATTTAGAATATATGACAGGTGGTGCCTCGACTCTCCGGTTTCATTCACTTCTGGTAGAATCCTCCAGCAGGGAAACCAAAAATTGCTATATCTATTTATCCTACAAATTAGGGATTGAGACTAATATTGGCTATGAGCAGCTGGACAGGGATAAGACTCACATGTGCAGTGAGACTCCATGAAATCTAGGTGAGAACTGAAAATACAACCAGTTCTATTCTGACAAAGAACTACTGCACAACAAAGCAGACTTCTGAGGGGCTCTCAGTATGGGAAAAGCAACAACGAAGAAGGTAGCTTTCAGGAAAAGAGATGGTTATTAAAAGCATGCTCTAGTCCTTTATTAAACAGATTCTACCCAGCACCACCTTTACAGTGGGGGGTATCATTCCCCAATTGGCATTTTCCCACTGTTATTTCATACTCACCCCACAGACTTCTCTGCAATGCCTCCTCCTCGTCCATGTCATCTGGCATATCTGAAGATTTCCACACATAGCCTTCTCCTTCTAATCCAACTTCCTCCTTGTTGTAAACTGTAAAAAGGACAGACTAAGTTGCTAGAAAAGCTTGCCAGAGAAAAAGAGAAAATAATTTCCGATATGTTATGATCTGAATGTTATTGTCCTTTTTTACCTTTGACTTTTAACTTGTCCTTCTCTTTACCAGTGGCTGAGTCATCACTAAATTCATCATCATCGTCTTCATCCTCATCTGGATGATGTAGTGAAATGACTGTGTTCTTTGGCAGACTAAATTTAGGGCCAACAATGACCTATAGGTGGACACAATAGAACAAAAGGACTAAGTAGCACTTTAAGTAAGGTCACTAGAGAGATACTGTAATTATCTTGACAGAAAATCATAGCTGAGAGCAATGTACTCCCAATGCTATGAAAATGCGTCAATGTGGAACCATGGACACAACCATATAGAAAACTATGCTGTACAGCAGCTTCATCGCCTAAGCATGGAATATGGCCAGACTTCTGCGTATCCAATACTGGCCATGGCCTAGAGTGGTTAGGCTGCCAAAGGTGGCACCTAGCTGCCGACACATCCTGCTGCTCATACGAACACATTTGGGTAATAAAATATTCCAAAGTATCCTTCTGGTTTCCACCACCATCTGAGCGAATCCACATTATTGCATCATAGTACAGCCTGTGCATTATCATTAGTGAAACAGCACATACTTATAGTTTATCAACTCCAAGTCTGCACACACCTAGAAGTAAACTGCTAGTGAGGTGACAGTGTCTAGGTGCCAGGTCTACCAATGCAGGGTGGGCAAACTGTCTTTTACTCTGTCTCCAGCCTACACATGCTATTGTAGCTATTGCATCTCATCAGGGTTAATTTTGATAGCAAATTTCGATTTAGTTTTAGTCATATTTCAGTTATTTGAATTGTTTTAGTCAACTATATATCATAAGATTTTAGTTGACAATCTACAGTAGATTTAGTCTACTAAAATCGAGTGGGTTTAGTTAGAGTAATTTAAGAATTTCCCTAGACTTTCCAATCTCATTATATACATAGTATTTGAGGTTGAATAAAGACATTAGTCCATCAAGTCCAACCTATTAGGATCTCATTCTAGGAGTACCTGCACCCCTGTATATTACCTGTACCCCTGTATATTACGGTCCCTTAAGAAATCGTCCAAAAGTTTCTTGAACAATTCCACATTATTTGCTGAAAAGATAACCTGTTATTACTTATGGTATTAAAGGTTTGAACATGCAATGCAGACACAGATTTAACTGTTGTGATATATAACATGTATTTATTTATCTTAAAATTAGATTTAACCAAGTCTTATAAAGAGACAATAATATTGAGTACAACTTGCATATGACATTCTTCATTCTTTTAAGCAGAAGAATGAAAAACTATATTGCCTGTAATGCCATTGCACATATTACCTAATGGCCTCCATTCAGGATGGAACCGGAACTGGAAGTCCAAAGAGATTAGTTCTGATTTGGATCGTCTCTCCCTAACATTTGAGTCTAGTTTTAGTTGAGTATAGTGTCAATATATTTTCGTTATAGTCATCATAACTTAGTTTTTATTTAGTTTGTCTAGTTTTAGTCACTGAAAAAATGTTGTTTACGAAAACTGTGATGAAAATGATTAGTCAACGAAATTAACACTGCATCTCAACTTCTTGCTGTGATAGCAATATCAAGCTGACTGAGGTAGGAGGATGGTGACACAAAGTAAATGGCCACCTGGGACAGATTGCATGAATTTGGCCCTACATTTTATGTTCATTTATAAAAATTAGAGGTGCACCGAAGTAGAAATTTAAAAACCGAAATGAAAAAATTGTCAGCCCGAAACCCAGAATGTTTTTATTTAAATTGTTAATTTTTTTTAAATATTTTATTTATTTTTTATAAA